ATGGTAAACTTTAAATTTATGGTTAAATGCAGCAAAATTAATTTAATAAAAATAAATTAAATAATAAATTTTAAAAAATCCTGTCCCTGAGCTGTTGGCTTGAAGTAACTGAGCAGTTTAGTTGGATAGCACAGTACTAATGTCTGAAAATAAGCTGCTTTAAAGTCACCATCAAACAAACTAAATCTGCCATAATGCAGCTACTCACTAGAAACTCATCAGTGAGTAAATTTTTTGTTTTACTTTTAATATTTCTGTATTTATTACAGATTTAGTCAGTCATACACTTAGTTCTTATCAGTGTTTAAAATAGGATGTATTAAAACTCTGTTTAGTCAAAGTTCAACATGAAACATCAAAGTTCATTACAAGTGGCCCTTTGAGGGCCACCATAACGCTCATGTGGCCCTCAGTGAAAATGAGTTTGACACCCCTGATGTACATCATAGTAAGGTATGGTGTTTTATTTATTTATTTTGGCACTTGTCTGTGAAATGTTTGTCTGAAATAAATTATCATCATCATCATCATCATCATCATCATCATCATCATCATCATCATCATCATCATCAAAGTGGCATAAGGCTAGCAAATAGCAGGAAGTAGCACAGTAGATAACAAACACATTTGTTTTTGCAGTACATTTTGTAGGGCAGGTCATTGCAGATACAAAACATTTTATTCAAATGTTTTCTCTTAAAAAGTGCTTTAAAACAATCTGCTGTAAACCTGGTTTGCCTGAACAGATAAAATAGACCTTTGACTTTTGATGAAAAAGGTCAAACCAGAGCATGAAAGCTGTCATCACCAGTTTTATCCTCTTTATAGTGGGTTTCCTGTCAAATTCAGAATTGATTTTAAAATTTAAGTCTCGACTTTTAGAGCTCCTAACGGACAGTTTCCCCAATATATTACAGAACTTGTCACTCTTTATTCTTCTGGAGGCAATCTTTAGTCTTCGGGCCAAAATTTCCTGAAGGTTCCTAAATCCAGGTTTAAGACTCAAGGGGACCTGTCCTTTCAAGCAAGGGTCCCTAAACTGTGGAACGTCCTGCCCCTCCGTGACAATGGATGGACTTGCATGGACAAATCTTCTCTTGCTGACATCTTTTAATTAAAATGTAAATAAAATGTTTCTGCAAACTAGAAAAGGAGTGGACCGGTCTGGAAGCCAAAGGGAGGCGGGGCTTAAAGCTGCTTTGGGGACCGTAGCAAAACCAGCTACTTTGAGACACACATCAGAAGAGTGAAAGAGGGGCTGACGAAGTTACAATAACAAGGAATTCAGACCAAAGCATTGTAGTTCCACTTTATATAGATCCCAGCTGAATGATTTAAATGTGAAAAGGAAGATTTAAAAGCATGACATGTCTACTTTAAGTTTTGCTTCTTGTGAAGCACTTTGTGATGTCTATCTGAAAAACTCTAGAGAAATAAAACGTACTTATGATCATATTTTAAATGAATGATTTAATGATGATGTATTTGTTATGGAAATATTCAATTAGTTTTGACAAATAGTCAAAAAAGTGGTATAGACATCCTGGATGTTGTCTTTTGTTCACACATGACAGGAAAACACTTTTAAAGGTGCATAAATAAAAACATTTGAACAAAAATACACTTTAAAGTACAAGTAGTCCTGCTGTAAGCTTTATAAGATTTTTTTTCTCTCTTTTACAAAAATGGTTTAAGGTCAAATAATTTTATCATCCTACAGCTTCTACTGCTGTACTATTGGACTTAGTGATTGTGGTAATTGAAACAATAAAATACAAAGTAAAACTGTACAGTAAAAGAGGAAATCTTAAATAAAAAAAACTGTCAAGAAAGGTTGTAAATGACTTGATTTTGACACATAAAATGAGAAAAAAATCATACTACCTGTGTTCCTTTTAAAGGTGAGGTGTTCCACGGCTCCACCCCGCAGCGTTTCACCTTCTGGGAGGCCAAGGCGTACTGCGTGAGTCACGGCGCGGAGCTGGCCACCACTGCTCAGCTCTACGCAGCCTGGAGCGATGGGCTGAACCACTGCAGCCCGGGCTGGCTGGCCGACGGGAGCGTGCGCTACCCCATCGTCATCCCCAGAGAGCGCTGTGGAGGCGGCGAACCCGGCGTTAAGACCGTCTATCGATACAGCAACCAAACAGGCTTCCCGGAGGGTCACTCTCGACACGATGTCTACTGCTTTAAAAGTGAGGGAGCACTTTTTTAAATGATGATCCGTATGGTCAAAAGAACATAACGGTGGGAGAATATTTTTTAAATTATGCTCTTCTTTCCAGGTGATAACGGCCCTTACACTGAGCCTCCCGAGTATTTTCTCCCAACTGAGCCAGAGGACATCGGTCAGGACATTGTTTTTTTAACCACGCAGCAGGATGTCAGTCTGAGCGAGTCGAATTCAAAAGAGACCGAAGAGATGCAACATGGCCAAACGCATAATCCGACAAAGCAAGACAAGGAGGCGGTGCTAATAGAAAGCCCTCCTCAGTTTGTCACTCCATCATCTGAGCATCAGGAGATCCCCTCCACTGAAGATACCCGGGAGGATGTAAAGAAGACCAGCTGCCCAGACTCCTTCCAGACGGCGCCCGAAAACCCACACACAGATGGTGACGTTCTTCCAACAACTTCTCCAGAGTTCGGTGGTCCCTCTTTACCCACAACAGAAGGAACAACTTCCAGAAGTATAGAGTCCACAGAGGATCCCGATTGGTTGGTTTATAATTCCACATCTGAAGCTGATTTGGATGAAGAGCAATACGAGGGGAGTGAACTTCCTGTTTCACAGGAAGACCACACAATCAATGTCACCTCGGATCATCCTTCTGTATCTGAATCAGCTGTTTTAGGAAGGTTAGACGAAGAAGAAGAAGAAGAAGGCACCACTGATTCTCTAGTTGAGATTTCACCTCAGATTGAAAAAATGGACCCTTACTCCACCTCCTTGCAGCCATATTTTACTAATGGCACAGAAGAAAATCAGCCAACAGAAGAGTCTGAGGAGGAGACCTCAGATCCCTCTGACGAGGGTTTAATGGGTTTGAACATCTCTTCCATCTCTGAAAGAGTCCCTACCTTTAATACAAGTAAGATGACTCTGTTTCTGTTTTAAAAGTAGCCTGGTTAGTTCAGCTAAATGAATGATTGCTCTCATTTTTTTTAAATTCTCAACTTAAGTTGTTACAAATGTGGATACATAATTATGTTCTCCTGACAGGTTTTGACCTCAATGGTGGGCACTCGAGTCCAAAGTCAGCTGTCCTGGTGAATCATGAGTTCAATCACACTTCAGATGATCTGACAGAGCAGAGCGGACACACGGATCTTGTAGAAATTCCATCAACAGAAGTCGTCCAAGTCACAAATGACCTAAACTCCAGTACTTCTGTTTTAAAAACCAACCTGTTTACACTGCTGGTGTCCCCGACCTCCGCAACCATGTCTTCATCTCCTATGATGACTGAAGCCAACACTTCAGAGGCCGGAACATTCCTGCATGAAAGTAATATTTCATCTGAGGATGAACCTCTGGAGGAGATTCAGGATAAAACTGACCGAGAGCAGTCAGAAGAAAACCCAGCAGTTTTCCTCGGCACGGCCCAGAACTTCACAGACGATGCTTCAGGGGAAGGAGACTCCATTGAGGAGGCAGATGAATCTTCTGGGGAAACGCCCGACGGAAAACCTGAACTTTTTCTGACAAACCCGACTCTATCTGCGGACCACACCTCTGTTGGAATCATCGATGAGGCTGGGACTAGCGCACCCCCGGAGTCAAAGATAAAAATCACACTGGTTCCTCATCTGACCTTCACACCCAGCTGGGAGTTGGAGCCGTCGACCAAAACGCCCGAGGAGTCTCTCTCTGATCGGGAATTCAGCGCTGAGCTTCCTGTTTCAGAGAAGACTGACGAGAGCTCAGAGGAGCAGGATTCAACCCCAACAGCAAGCGAAGTCCACAGTAAAGTTTTGTTTAATTAGCTCTTTGTTCTGTGAGGTAGCTGTACTGCCCACTTTGATTTTATAAATGTGTGCTCATTTTTAATAATTTGTATTTCTGGCACACATTTAGAAAAAAACCTTTTTAATTTTAAATATCCTTTTTCATTTCAAATTAAACATATAAACTGAGCATAAATGTGGAGAAAAATTTTGAAACTGAAAACAATATTTATATATTTTGTGACCAGCCGTCTTTTTGATTATATGATACAAAAGCAAAATTAGGCAGGTGCATAAATTTGGGCACTGTAA